GTCTGACTGTTATCAAGTGCCTCTTCTCTCCACTGTTCTTTTTTCCTGCTAAAGTACGGATATTAGCAGGGAAAAAGCCAAGTCCATGGTCACAGGAACTATCCTCCGAGGAAAGGCAGAGCTTCAAAGGGCCGAGGGAAGCAGCTCCAAGAGCCTCAAGTAGTCTATTTTTCACTTATTTGTATTTTTTTTTAACCAACCACTCATTCTTTAATCTGGAAATGTCTCCAAAATGCCCCCAGAGCAGCACATTTATTGCCTGCTGCTGGCACACACCTGCCTTCCCATCCAGCTCAGCTTTCCATCGGCGCTCACAGAAACATTTTTGCTGGGCACAGTAAAGTCATTACTTAACAAAAGCACATATGGATTATGGATACTCCATATGAGCATTCCTGTAGTTTCCATTCTGCCAGGGGTCCAACACTACCTTTGTAACTACAGCATTACAGGGCTTATAAACCAGGGCTGAGGGAGGTGATCCTTCCCCTCTGGTGATGCATCTGGATGCCAGAGACTAGAGCACAAGGCACGTGCCTCTCTCCCCCCAGAGGTGCCCAGTGTAAAGATGACACACAAATGGGAAATCCTGGGCAGATATAAGGAAAAGTTTTCCACAATGAAGACGTGCATAGATCCAGATCTCAATTCATGCATGTTTATGAAAGGCTCAGTGGCTATGATGTGCTTTCATTAAAAAGTGATTTCAGCATGAAAAGGCATCGAACATATGGTCTCCTTGCAGTCCTAGAGACCTGGTGCTCTCAGTTCCAGGTTGAGGGCAGTGCCAGTGCCCGGGCACAGAGGGCTGACACCGTGGCAGGGAGCTGACGGATGGCACTGCTGGGAGGCAGCCAAGCAGGGGCAGAGGGCACTGTGGTTCAGCAAGGCAGAAACCGAACCACAAAGCCTGTGATTTAGAGGCCCTCACGCCATTTGTGGCATTTTGTTCCTCTGGAGAGCACATTCCTTCCCCTGCTGTGGAAGATTTGTCTTTGGCGATGGCAGCGCTCAGAGCAAGGGCCTCCCAGAGCAGTTCTGGCAGCTGTGCCTGTTCTAAGCTGCATGTGAAAGGAAGATAAACCAGAGCAATCCTAGGACCTGCTACATGGTGGTAGGAAGCAGCCTTGACCCCCAGCTGATTCCCACTCCTTCTCTTCATCCAACCCCTACAGAACTCCACAAAACCAAAACCTCCACTCAACACAAAGTGAGACTGTCCCAGCAACAAATCCAAGCCCCCAAATACTCCAGAATCTTTAGAGAGAAGACAATGAGATGCTGCAAAGTGGCCATAACAAGCTTTAAAAATAAAAACCAAGAGAAAGTGTGAAAGTCTTGACAAAAAAAAAAAGTCACACTGTTTTAACATCAGCGTAAGGTCAGAACATACAAAACTGCTCATAAAGAAGGCTTTAAAATGAGTTTGATAATCTACTGTGGTTGAACAATCAAGACCTCACTCATCTTGCACCTAACTGCAAGCACATGTTGGGACTCCTGCCTGAAGCAACAGGTTAATTCTCCACTTATTTCACAGGATTAGAACTACATTTTTCCCCCCCAGGAAATGTAGTGTTATTGTGAAGCCCATCCAGACATGCTATTTCATAATTAATACTAAATAAGAAATGAATTCTCTCCTTTGTCTAAATAGCTTGCTTTGGCTCAGCGAGGAGCAGCAATTAGCAAGTTGGCCTCCCAGAACACATTTGATCTGCTACAGGGTTTCCTGCTGCTGATCAGAAGAACAAACCTGATTTCACACAATCCATGGGGTTTATGTTGGCTGGATGTGCTATAATTAAAATGATCTTTTCTTTTTTTTAACTCCCCCAAGGGCTTTGTTTATCTGCTTGGGCTTTTTCATGGAGAGGCAGGCACGTCCCTAATTTAGCAGTTTGGTTGATTTACACTCCTGCTCTTTACCAGCTCCCTTTGTAGCATTCACTGTTTGTAGTTTGGTGCAGAAATGGGGGCCTGTTATCATTTGTGTTATAGGGCTGTCTTAATAGCAGGAGTAGAAGAACAGTTCCCATGGAAACATTTCCATGTTTCATCGTGTGCTTTTCCTGGGATTCCCAGGGTTGAGCAGGGTGGGCTCTGGGCCTCTCTAACGGGCACACACAGCAGCGTGTGGACACTTCCCCTTCAGCAGGGGAGGGAAATAGCATATTTATAGATTATTTCCTCTCTTTCAAAGTCTAATGCCTGTAAAAACAGAGCAGCTCAACAGCCCCATGCCCCTGACTGATGTCCTGGCCAGTCCCCACCACTCTGACAACAAACCAGGTCCTGTTTTGAAAGGCCACCTCCAAACCCAAGAGAAGGTTTTCCTTTCTTTCCGACCTCTACAATTAAGCCTGGAGTGGTGCCATGGTTGAACAGGGCTCAACAGGCTCACCTGAGCCAAGGTGCCCTGGTGTCACCAAGGACTTCCAAAGCCTCCCAAAAAACACACGCCATCCTGCTCTACAGGCGAGGTGTTCAGGCCTGGGGAACACCACTGCTCATGGGCCACCCCTGTGCCCTGGTACTTAGCAAGAGCAAAGGTAAAACAACAAATAAAGTCACCAGTGAAAAGGTTCAGCCACCTTCTCTCTCACTCCTCAACCACTGCCACACACAGGTGAGCTCAGGGCAAAGGGGCTCTTCCACCTCCATGCTGAACGAGATCCACCTGCAACCCCATCCCCTCCCCTTTGTCCTCTTTCTTTCCAGAGGCTGGCCATGGGCTCACAATATTATTTTTTCCTTTGCTTTTCTTCATCTGCAGACTTATTGATTATTTTCAAAATTTACTTCAACCTATTCACAGTAGTGAGGAAAAAAAAAAAAACAAACCCAAAGAAACCTCAAACTCAAGGGCCACAGCCACTGCTTTGAAGAGATCATTATAACAAGTTCTTATTCCAGGGGAGAGTAATTATCATGTTATAACAAACATATTAAATAATTCACTATTATTATTTTGGCACTTCTTCGTGAACCAGGTGTTTAGGAAACTGTTTCAGACATAAGCACACGATGCAGTCCCTGGGGTCCTTCCCCCCCAGCCACACACAGCAAGGAGAACACTAATGCTTGGGCAAGGCTGGAGCTCCCCAGAGCCAGCAAAGCCCTCACATCAACAGCACAACATGCTATGCTTTTACTTTTTTTCATCATTCTCATCAATATTTCTCAATTTTCTAATTATAAGCATGGAAGTGTCTGAGCTCTCTCAGTTCAAGTCAGATTTATGTCTCTTGTCCATAAATCTCTGGTTATCTCTTAAGCTTCTAAAACATAGTCATATTTTTATTCAAGCAAGACTACTTTAAAAGCTGATTTTCATTCACATCACCATTTTTGCACTGCCTGTTTGCTGGTTGATTAATGAATGCAGAACCTCTCTTTACTCAATCCAGGCAGAGCTGCCACTGAGTCAGCTGTTCTTACCTGCAGGATTTTGGACAAGCAGAGCTGCCGTGGGTGCTGCCTTGGGGTGAGGTCCCTGTGCACATGGTTCACCTGAGCCTGGAAAACACAAGTGTGGAGATATAAGGAGGGTTTGGCATTTATACCCCCAGTAGCTGCATTTCCTGGGACACTCTGTAGGAACTCAAAAAAAAAAAAAAAAAAAAAAAGAAAGAGTCATCACATCAAGACTTTTTTCCACCCAAAAGTGAGGGAAAAAATGGCTGAGCCACTTCTGCATCAAACTGGTGAGATCAGTAGAAAGAATTCACACCACCCTGGGACTTATTTCAAAGACATTTAAAGACTTCAACGAACCAGTGCCCTGGCAAGGGTGGTATTTGTTGGGGAGGCAGCACAGAGACCCTGAGGGGCATTTGGTGTTGGAGAGGTTGGGGCAGCACAAAGGAGAGCAGGGTTGGGTGCTCAGAACATTAGAAAGGGCACGCTGGCTTCGTGCCACATTCATAAACATGTCCATCAACTGCAGCCTTTGGGGAACAGGCTCCACTGAGACCAGTCACTTGCTGAAAACAAAGTGCCATTCTTTACCTTCTAACCCTTCAGCAAAGCAGCTTCTCTGCAGTGCAGAACATAAAATCCACTCCCCACATCCACTACACCAGTGCTATTTAAAATTCACTCCATAGTGAATTTTACAGCTCATTCAGGCTCAGCTCAGAGCTCGGGAATGGCCCTGGAACACGTGCACATTTTCAGCTGAAGCAGAATTATGCTAAAACAACTGCACAAGGAGCCCACGAGGTCTGGTGCAATCACATTTCACTGAAAAAGGCTTAACCATGTGTGCAGGGAGCAAGGCAGATGGGATGAAGGGCTCTAACTGCTACGGAGATTTTTATTCATTAGCTCAGAGACATTCCAGCAGGTTCCAGGGCCCCTCAGAGCACTGACCCCCTTCTCCACACACTGCCTGCCCTCTGCTCTTAGTAGGCTGCATTTTTAGGGGCCACCACAGGATTTATCAGCTTCAAGATACTGATTATACTAAAGATCTTTTTCTTTTTTTTTTGTTAGAGAATTTCTGCTCTGCAGAAAACTTCTGACCCACACAGCCTATGAAGGGAGGAGGGAGCAGAGATGTAGTGGGGACAGTGGGACACAACCAACCTCCCCCTGTCCCACCAACACGCCAGCACCTCTTACCTGAGCAGAAGGACTCCAGGAGCTCCATGTTGCTCTGTCCTCACCTCAAAGCTGCTCTGGGAGGAAGGAGGAGCCAGCACAGGTGTCCTGAGTCTGCAACTCCATCACAACTTACCAACTTCCACCTGGGCTCAACAGCCTGCACCTGGTCACTGCCCCATGGCACAGCCCACAGCAGCTCCTCGTTAGCATAAAACAAAGAACCAAGTTCATAGCTCTGGGATTATTTTTTTTTTTTTAAGACACATGGCAAGAAAAGGAAGAAAAATGTACGACATGCAGCTAATTTCTCATCCAGGCAGGAAACATTTCCAACAGCAAACTGCCCCTCACAGCTTTGGTCAGGAAAGGAGAGCAAACAAGGGTGGGATTCTATAATTTATTACCATTGCTAAGATGAACACAGATACTTGATACCCCATCGTATGCAGAACTGTAAAAAAATAGTTTTAATACAGTATCAAAATTTACACAAGTGAAGTGTCAAAAGACCAGTGTCCCTCGAGTAGCCCCTGCAGGCACAAGTACAGGTGTCACAGCTGTTCATACACACAGAGATAGGAATACAACAATTGCAACCGAACTGTGCAGTGGGAGAAAACAACGTGGGAAGATAACACAGAGCTGCCTGGGCTGGGTTCTATGTCAGAAATCACGCAGGAGTGCCATGTTTCAAACAGAAGGCTGGATTCTGCATTCCCAACTCAAGGAGAAGGAGTGAACGGGAGCTTTGCCCGAGAAAGCAACGCTGGATCAGAGGCCTTACATCCAATGGTACCAAGTGGAAATAACAACAAAACCCAACAGAATTACTGCTGCAAATTAACACAGTTTGGCTGAAGACAGGTAGCAGATTTACATCAGCTATATGACAAAAGATTGTACAGCAACCGAGCTACATTCCACAGCAAACAGCCCACGGGTACAGGATGTCCACGCCCAGAGAAAACAGAGCTTCTCGCTTCGGCTCAAATCTTCGCAACCGAGAACAAACCAGAAACCCAGGAATTGTTGCATTCCTATTTTTTTTCCTTTTTTTTATTATTATTATTTTTTATTAGTCTCTTTTTGACGCTCAGCTATGGTAAAAAGTTAAGCAACAGCCATTCAGTCACAAGCCTGTTGCACATTCATACATGAAACTATCATTGCTCTTAGATATACACAAAATACCTATGTTGTAATTCAATACACACGACTAGTGTCATACACAGAGATAAAAATAAACTAAGCACATCTAGGGCGCCGTCTGGTCACATCTCAGGCAATCTGAACAAGAGCTTTCTGCCTCCTAATAATGAAAGACATGCTCTGAGGATAATAAAACCCTTTTTCTTTGAAAGAACTCTACGGTGGCAAGGAAAGCTTTTTTTTAATAATGCAGTGCAATCTTTTAGATCCTTATAGGCTCTTGTTAAATAAACCAGCATGTCTCTAAATTAAACAGTTAGAAATTAGCATCCTGACAATTGGAAAATATTTTCCAAAAGAAATTCTGATGGAGATTCTGATCTGAGACCTGTGATAGTGATGCCTAAGTATTCTGTTCACTAAAGGGCTGCCAACACCCTACACCTCTTCAGAAGATGTGCATCAAGAGAAAGCTACCTTGACTTTCCTTTAGAAAGAAATTGTGGATCACTACAAGGACTGTAGTTATGCTACACTACTGGCTGGTTAGGACTTTATGGTCTTTTAGCACCTCCAAAGGCAGGTTATTCTACCAAAGCAAAGAAATCACCTGGGAATTGCCTAAGCACCATTAACGGGTCCTTTACAGACTGAAGGGGGAGTTACTAAGAAGCGACTTTCTCAGAACTGCGGAGACCAAAGGCACAGTTTATCCACGTCTCTCCAGTCTGGTGGAAAAACCCCTCTCAAATCCAGCAGGAAACTCGTTCAGGCCTATTAGAGACTCGCTGTAACTAACCAAAATAAAACTTATTTCGCGCAGCTCCTGCAGAATCCCAAGTATCTGTGGAGTTGGGATGGAGATACCTCAGTGCTCCTAAGGGCGGTGTGTTGCAGTGAGGGTGCAGCGTGTCACTAGGCAGGCGATTGGAACAGCAGGAGGGGAGGCTGCCAGCACGGACAGCCCCCCGGGCAGCAGCTCTGGTGTCCAGCCGAGGCTCGTGCAGTGCATCCAGACACCCCGTCGTCAGTGGGGATGGGGGGACAGCCAGTTCCTTCCCTCTCGTGGGCACGTCGAACTCGCTCTTCAGAGAGGCCATTACATGGGTCCTTTATACTGATTTCCTGACAAGTGTTGCCTAATTCCAGGGCACGACCCTGCAGCATCTCCAAGTTTCCTCCACACAACCTAAAGGGAGGGATGGAAAGAGATCGTTATCCCCGGTCGAGGTGTGCCGGTGTTCACACGGACATGCAGCTGGAATGCCACAGCTCTGGGACATGCAGCACAGGGGAGGGACACACGACAGGAGCACAGGATGTTCCTCAGGGGGTACAGCATTCCTTCTGAACACAGAAAGCACATGCTGCTGGGTAGAAATGATTAAAAACGGACACAGATGGGCCAGCACGTGCTTCAGACACAAGACTGAGGGTGTTTGAAGGCCTCAGCTGAAACTCAGCTATTTCCCCAACCACATCTCCTGCACAAAGATCAGTCCAGAGGTGTCTAAACATTTCCAGTTTAACAAGCACAGAGCAGTTCTCCTCTTTGTCAAGGGATTTACTTGTTCTCTTACAACCAAGCAAGGCACCAGAAGTGTTTATTTCCCTAGTTCTTCCGTGAGGTCCAAGGAATTGTGCATGTAGTCACTGTGCTATACTGTGCTTAACATCATCTGTACAACACTGGAATTAAAAAGGCAGAGAAGTGACACCCCCAAAAATGTAAGGAAGTGTTTTATAATGACTTATAGGAAGACTGATGCACTGTAAGTGGGAGAGCAGTAGCTGGTGGTGTGTCACCAGGCCTCTCTAGAGACAAGAATGGTGATTCCACCATCCAAACTGTGTACTGCAATTTCAGAGTATTTCTGGTTAATAATAATCAACTCCCAACCAGCTAAAGTGTAACTGCTACTAAACCACCCTTCACCCTCTGGGCCAACAGCAATGTGACTGTCAGGAAAGGTAAAACTGGTTTCCATTGTCATTATTTATTGTTTTACCAGTGCCTAAAGTCCAGCAGTGAACAGACACTGCATTAGCTGGAGATGAATAAAGCCAAAGCAGCTGGATCCTGGGAAGCTGACATCCTTGAAAAGGTGGTTCCTCCAGCTGATGAGCAAAGGCAGAACAACCTCAAAGTCCTGCTGTGATTCTGTGCAATTGGTGGGAAAACAACCCAGTTCCTGTGAGCCTTTGCTGCAGAAAACCTGAGCATAGGCATGAAAACCAGAAATACTCCCAGATTGGAAGGAACAGGGCTGCAGTCCTACTGTACAAGGCCACAAATAATGGTCCTTTAAAGGGAACTGTCTTTAATTCCAATGGATGGGCATAACCCAAAGCCTGCAAGCTTTCCACAGAGCAGGATCCTGCAGCCTGGAATCCCAAGTCACATCCCAGAAATCCACGTGTGTGTTTTGGGTGTATTTGCTGTGTGTGAGACACTGCAGGGGGCAAAGCATGGGAAGTGGGGGCTCAGTGACACCTCCCACACTGGGTGCCTGGGCACAGCCAGGGCTGGATCTGGCAATTCTGTCCAACAGCTGGTACCAAAACACAAGAGCTCCTGTGGGAAGGCACACCATGCCTACACGTGCCCTTCAACAACTTCCCTGGGCAATAAATATTGAGACAATATTTACCAAGCAGCTAATGCTGACCCAGGAATAAACTGGAAGGTGACACTTCCTTTCTTTCCAGCTGAACAAGTGACCCCTGAGTGGCAGCAAGGGACAGACACGTGCAAGGGCCCCAGAGAGGTGACGAGTGACAAGGGGGGGTACAAAATTTCACTCAGAATTTCAGCAGGAATTTCAGCCCTCCTGCCCAGCTACACCCCCGATCCCAACTGGAATATCCCACCTTCCCTGCAGCTCCCAGCCCAAGTGAGGGTGCTGCAAACTACACTTACCAGTAGCCTGAGGAAAATCATCAAGAACACCCCTCCAGACTTAATCCAGACATTCCCAATTATGAAGAACACCCCTCCAGACTTAATGGAGACATTCCTGTGCTGTGGAATTACCTCCATGCTCACTACTACACGACAAACTACCTCTAAACTTGCTGCCACGTGTTGCTACATCCCCCTAAGACAATGCAAGTATATAAATACAAAGCAAGAACGTTCCCAAATAACACCATTCCCAAATGCAATACCAACTACACATGCACGTCCTGAGGAGAGAATTCCTACCTCTGTTATCTCAATAAAACACCAACATGGTCACAGAACACCACAAAGTTCCTACAAGGTGAGTTACACATCCACCTTGGCAGTTTGCATTACATCATTATTTGGGTACCAAATTGCATCTTGGCACCAATCCAAACTATGCACCGAAATTAGGGAGCCCAAAACTGTCATCATTCCCCTGTTTTCACAGGGAAAATGATGCCATGGCAAATGTTTCCCGTGAAACACCCACAGTGCACGAGGCTGCAGACAAACAGTGAGTTACAGCCTGGCAGGAACTGCAGTGAGAATGCAAAAGAAAAGATTATAATAAACATTGTAATCGGTTTATCCCAAATCCACTGCGCTTTTAACCTGGACTAGACGGGTAAAAGGGAAAGCAAAACCAGAAAGGAAATACCCAACTGCTTTAAAAGTATAATAATGTCTCAACAGTGAAATCAGACAGAGATTGTAAAAGTCAGAGGGACAGGGAGCGTTTCAGTGGCAGCAGCAGAGCTTTGAATGGCTGGGAACAAAGGGACGAGGCAGGACACGAGTACGTATTTGAGAGTTACAAAAATGAAGTGATAATGTCAAATTTAGCATTTAGAAGTGGCATTACTTACACCACAAGGACTTCTACGGATTACCATGAAATATGTATGAGCTAGAAACTGCTTTTTTAGCCATAAATGGCAAAGGAATATCCGAGGCAGGAAAAGTCATCAGGGCCATTGCTCAGCTGGGGAAACTGAAGCTGCCAGGCTTCATCACCCCTGCCAGATTTTATTCTTAGGAAGGATAAATTCAGGTCATACAGTACTTTACCCCCAATATATTATCCCACATAGATTTTTCTGATCAATACTAACCAACATGTTAACGTTATAGTGCTCCTAATAAAACAGTAATTGCATTACAGAAACAGTAATTGGCTTAATTTCCATAGAAAATCTTCAAGGGCACATTGTCGGCATTTGAACAAAAAATACTTTGCATCTTCAGGTGTTTCCAGGCTCAATATGGAATATAAACACCTTAAACTCTTACTGCACATTTCTCCAGCCTCAGCTTTCTCTGTCTCACTAAGGTGGTGGTAAGAGAGCCTTTAACAGCCCGGTGATTGATGTTTTCCTGAGCTTCCAAGCCATGGGGATGTTTAAAAAGAAGGGAATTTCATTTACACATTTTTTGGCAGCCACAAGTAAGACCAGTAGTGTGAGTACAGTATATAAGTAGTCAGACTTACAGACCTACAGACCAGGTAACAATCACTGTTCCACCCATACAAACCCTGGTCTGGAACGTCACAAGCAGGAAGTTTGGCCAGATACAACTTCCAAAAGGAATCAAACACATCCTGCCGTGTGAAATAACCACTTACAGGTCCCCAGGGATGCCACCTGCACTCCAGGAATAATCCCACAGCCACGGGCAGGGTGGGGAGGATTGCCAAGGACCCGGCAAGTTCTCCTTCCAGCCATCCTGCCTGAGGGAGCAGGTCCTGGGAGAGCCTTATCAGACCCGCTGCATGGCAAAGCTCTGCTCCTGTTCCCACTTTCTCCAACAGTGGGAGATTCCCAGCCAATCTTTTTAAATTTCATAATGTTTTTTTAAAGTCTCCTCATCACTTAGGAAAACAACAGCAGCATTTTTAGCAATTCCCTCCCTCTGTTCCCTAATGGATCTGCCCCTTTCAAACACACTCCTGCTCTTGAGATTTCCTGCTGGGAGGAGTGGGTTGCACCAACAAGGAGGATGTCCCTTTGCCAGGGGGTATTTTAAGAGAACTACAAAAGGCTTTTTTCCATAATTATCCACGATCTCTTGACAAAATTAGCTGGCATAGCTTTATTTTCTGGGCAGCAGCAGGTGGGATGTATGGAAGATGCACAGAGGGCTCGGAGCACTGCTGAGCCAGGCACTCCTGGAGCTGGGAATGTTGCAGGAGGGCAAGACCAGAGCTCTCATGGCCAGTGCTCCTGACAGGGACATGGCTGGGGAGGCCACCCCAGAGGGGACCTGCCACTGTGGGAAGAGGGGCTGGAGCTCTCCTGGATGCCTCTCCCCTTTGGATGCCAGGAACACAGGCTGTGCTGAAGTGCTGTCACAGGAAGGATCTGGTGGCTGGGATTTGTGCACAGTTCACTTGAACAAACCTGTTTCTTCAAGCTTCATGGAGGAGAAGGCAATGTCACAGAAGCTTGGGGGGCCAGGCAAATCCACAGCACTGCTGAGCTCTTACTGTGCATCTCCACAAAGCTCAAAACCACAGCAAATACCTACACAAGTCCCTTCCAATCCTCCCCTGGAGGAGGGCGAACCTGCCCCCTCCAAGTGTCCCTGCAACACCTGTACATGTGGGGAGGAACACCTGCTTATCCAGCTGGATACTGAGGCAGTTCAGCTGACGAGTGAAGCACAGGAGAGAAGAGGGGCACAAAGCACCAAATCCACCACGTCTGAGCCACAACAGGAGAGAGGAATATGCAGACCCTGCTCAGCTCTCCCTCAGTTTTTATCCCCTCCAGAGGAACATGGACACCCCTGATGCCAGGGCAGTGAGCTCAGCCACCTGCTGACTCCCATGGCCCCATAACCTTTCAATCTTGTAACACCTTCTAAGTTTCTTTAATTGCAACAGTTTCGCTGCTGACAGAAGGGAGAACTTGCAACTCTACCCCTCCGATTCCTTGTGTCACTGGCTGTGTATCAGTGTCACACAGGCCTCTGCAGTCCAGCCCTGGCTCCAGGGTACAGCACATCTGCTCCCAAAGCAGCGTCACCACTGACCTTGGGACCGTGGTCTTCAGCCCAAGGCCCTGCTATTTTTAACATGAACATACCCTGTGCCTCAGCTTTATCTTTGCATTAGAGTATTTCCCTCTGCAGGAATCCACTGTATCCCACCTGAGCACAAACACGGATCCTCCAGGAAGCAGAAACACCTCCTTATTCAGCAACACACCAGGTTCAGCTCCAAATGAACACTACGGGCGTGAGTAACGCGGTGAGCAGCGTCACCCCTGCCAGGGCCTGACCCCTGCCCAGGACACACACAGGCCACAGATACGATGGGTGACAGACAGAAACAAGGCCACTGATGACAGGAACATCCCGGTGGTCCCACGGGGATGTCGGCAGGACGACAGGACAGGAGCTGAGGGACAGACAGGACGCGCGGCAGGGCCGGCAGCGGAGCAGCGTTACCTTCAGAGCATTTACCACTGAGTCAGGCTGCGCAGAGGCCGGGCCGTGTCCCCCCACGCTGGCTGGCTGGGCAGGGCAGGGCCGCCCCTCCGCCCCGCCGGGCATCCTACCGGGCTCCTTGGCAAGAGAGCAAACACTCTTTAATACACAGCACGCTGTCGCTGAGTCAAACACGCCACTTATTCACTGCTCTCTTTTCAAGGGCTGAGCAGCGCTGACGGCGTGTGGTGCTCCCGAGTCCCCCTCTGTCTGTGCCACGGGGACCAAGATCCACGTGAGCGTCACTCTGGCCCTCCGGGGTGTCCCCCTGGAAGGTCAGCACGTGGCAACAAAATTTCTCATCTCAAAATCAAAATCTCTCACAGAAAGCGCTGCAAAGTTTAGAGAGATGATTTCAACCCCAGAGGAAGGTTTGGAGGATGTCTAATTTTATCCCAATAATTCTGGCGGTTGTTCCTTCAGCAAAACTCTCCTTTTTGAACATTGCTGCAAGGTTTGCAAGCCCAGCTCAGCCACAGCTGGCCAGGGAAGGAAACAGCTCCGGGCTGACAACTCACTCCTTCCCAGGGTGCCAGGGCACGGCCCCCTTTGCCTTTGCCCAGGGGAGAGGAAGTTTAGCACCTCACACTGACTGCAGAATGTTAAGGCTGCTCAGACCATTCCCCCACAGCACCAGATGCCCATTTGTTCCCAGCAGTGACAACCTCAGTGACAACCTGGAAGGGTTTTTCAGGACACTGCCAGACAAATGTGAGCTACCTGAACTGTTCCAGCTCAGTCTCCTCAAGCTTTGCAGGGTGTGAAGCATCTCCCGGAACAACTGCAGTGCTGAGGTAACCTGAGAAAGCTTCAGAGAGTGCTAAAAATACCCCTGCTGCACTCGTGGGCAGCCATGGGATCCCTGTGGATGCTCCCCAGGTGCTGCCAGCCTGCCCTGCTCCTCACCCTCAGCCTTCAGGCAGAATTTTGTTTAAAAACAAATGAGAAATATAAAGAAGTAAAACACTTCAAAGACTGAGAGATGGGAAGTTCCTTTCTTAGAGAGTAAGAAACACCATAGGAGACATTAAGAAGTAACACAGCGGTAATCCCTGCTGGGATGAGTGGGAAATGCATTTCTGAAGGAGAAATAACGACAGTGGAACAGCCTCTGCTCAGAGTCAGTGCCCTGATGTGCACTCCTTTGTCCCACTGAGCAAGCACACAGAACATAGCAGTGGGTTTGGGGGTGTCTCTAATCTAAACAATAGGAGAGATGAGGGTGGGTGTGGGAGAGAAAGGGCACAGGGCGACAACATGAGGCTGAGCTTCACAGACCCAGGCTGCCTGCAAAGGAATGGGCAATAGCACAGCCCAAAGCAAGCTTCCAGTGCTGTGGGGATATGGCCAGGCCTTTGCAAGGCTTCCAGCAGTGCCAAAGGGCAGAGAGAACCCTCCCAGTCACCCAGCACATCCACTCGACCCCCACAATCCCCTGCAGGACTGAGCCTCGTACATTCAAACAACCCCCCCCCAAACCAACCAGTCAATCAATAACAAATAAACAGAATGCTGCATATGCCAAACCCACAGAAAAGGGACTTTATGCCTGAATCTGAAAGCTCATTTCACACACAGACCGGTTGTCCAGCGCCGGCCTCCTGCCAAGCAATGGATCCATGGAATCCACACTGGTGGGCACTAATGGATCTCACTGCATTATCCTGCAACTCTCCCCAGCAGTGCCTATGATCAATTTGTTGTGATGTATGGAAGGGGGTTTAGGACTTATTTTGCTTGGGGAAGGATTTATAGATCTGTTAGAGACTGGCCAGACTTAATGCTGTACTTTGGGAAAGGAAATGAAGGAGGAAGGAGAAGGGGCAATAGAGCAGATTGGAGCAGTGCTGGGTTAGGATAAATTCACTCAGTCAGCTTTGGGGGTTTATAAGTCAGAGTATCCTGTTTCTTTACTAACTGCAGCACCAGCAAACGTTTTGGTCAGTTTGGAACAGTAAAACAGAAATATTGCCATTAAGAGGCTGAGAAAATGAGCACAGAGTGTACATGTAAAGCCTCCTGAACACAAGGAACTCCAAACCTCCTGTGAATGGCACTGCTCCCGGAGTTCAAGCCCTGCTCCAGGCACTGTGTGTCCTCCACAGCTCCTCTGTGCCATATGCAGCACATTTCTGCCTCCCTTCATGAGAATGAAACACTTGTGAACACACTGCTTCAAGCAGCCAGTGTTCTCAGCACATGTTGGGAGGAGACTGAAAATTAGTATTTCCCCCGTGGACATCCTTCTCCTTCTGTCCTTGATAAGGGACATGAGCTTTTCTTTAAAAATAAGGCAGATTTTGCAGCCCTGAAGGCCCATCTCAGGCTCAGGGGCTTCTCATCTCAGGTGAGGCTGCTCCACTGAGGCAGCACAGCTTCTGCTTCTTTGGGGGAAGATTATTGCAGCAGATGATGGGGATGGAACCGGCCTGGAGGTGGGTCCTGTGGGGCTGGAGACAGCCCAGCACTCCTGATGAGCTCCTGAGGCAGGGAAGCCAAACAGGAGGAAAAGGCACTTTGCCCAAGGGGCCTTGGGGGATGAGAGATGCTGCTCCCTCCCTCCTCTTCCCTGGCTCCACATACAGCCCCTGCACTCAGCCACTGGAGGGAGGTGTCCCCTGTGACAGAGCTTTTCCTTTAATATCCAGGAACAAAGCTGTGGAAGTGGAACCAAACCAGACAGGGCTCCACACTGCTGGAATCTGTGTGAGCTGTAACCATCCTGAGGAACTGGGAACAAACAGCACTGCACAACACCTGCACCTGAGAAATAACTGACCTTTTTGCTTCTCCTCTGCAGCCACCCTTCCCTGCTGCCCTGCCCAGCCCTGGTGCCCGAGGTCCAGCACAGTTTGGTGTTGTCTGATGTGTCCTCTGTGCAGATCACACCTCTGCAGGGAGCAGGCAAAACCCACAGCACACCCTGGGCATGGCTTCCCAGCGGGATAAGAGTGAGATCACTGGCTGTGCACATCATTTTCTGTTAGGAGTAAATCTACACCAAATCTAACTCTAATACAGACTCCAGGGAATGGAAAGCACAGGACACCTGACTCGACCCTGTAATCTCACCTCCCAAAAAGCCCAGAGGAATGGGAATTCACCATCTCGCTCACACTGAGTGCAAAATGTTGAGGCTGCTCAGGCCGTTTTGCCCCAGTGCCAGAGGCAAACCCTGCACTGTGTCCTGGGCACGGGCAGAATAAAGACTCCTGTGTGGAACAGGGAAAGAATTAACCAGGAGCTTTGCTACTTAAGCCAGTAGAAAACTTCATTTTTTCCATCTGCATTGTTGGTAAGGACAGTCCTGAATGAAAACCACTGTAGTGCCAACCCAAGCCAGGGGGATTGTGTCTTCCAGCCCCTCCGGAGGAAATGGGGGAGAGCCAAGGAGGGGAAAACACAGCCCATGCCTGCCCTGAGGACACTCAGTCACCCCACCAAAGCTTCCAAGAGAACAGGGTTTTCCTCTGTTCACTCACCCTCAGCAAACACACAGGACATCGTTCTCCAGCAGCCTCTTATCCCACAGGCAAGTGGTTTCCTGGGAAGTACATCCTTCCTGCTGGGTAACTGCCACGCCAGCTCAATCACTACCTGATTTTCAAAGCGTTTTTCTGATTTCCTCAGCCCTCAATTTCCCTGTAAAGCTCCAAGCAAACACAGGCTGTGTTTGTCAGCTTGTTTCCAACAGGCAGGAGAGAGGAAAAGCAGAAAGCGGTAACTGCTCTGCTGGGTTAATAATGCACTTAAAGAACAGCAACAATTCTCTTAGGGAATGCTCCTGTCAATTAAAATACACAATTTTCAAATGCTGCAGCTTTTCACCTGTTCTCAAAGAGCTCAGGAGAAACCCCTCTAGGACCCTGCTGCCAAAATCCACACGCCCTCAGAGAGGGTTTGAGGCACACTCAGATTCCTGAGTGGCCAAAGCCATTGGTGGCTGCACACCCTCAGAGACAGCCAGTGCCAGCAGGGAATTCCCTCCAGAAACCTCCTTTGATAACAAATATGGAAGAGAAAAAGGTCCTGGGCTGTGACAGCTCCGAATTGTGGAGGCCACACAAAGACCACCAGCATTTTAAATCTGTAAGATCTGGTGGAGTCTGCTAGAAAATCAGGACTGCAAAGCAACTCCAGACTTTTGGAACAAAAAATATCTGTACTCCCTGCACTGCAACTCTTTGTACACCAGGTTTTGCTTGAATTTGTATCTTGGTAACATCAAACCCATGAGCTTTTGCCAACTATGATGGACACCCTGGAACAAAGACTGGTGAGAACCTCGGCTGCTGGAAACTGAAGTCCTCTGTTAATGACCTTTTAATTCAAACTGAGGATGAGAGCACATGAAAGAACTGGGTGGGTGGATGCTCTTGCTTTACTCTCTTTCAGCAAATATTTGATGACATGATTAGGAAACATGAGTTTGTTCAATGTGTTTTAATTACATTTTGGTTGGAGGATTCCCTATTCTGTGGAAGGGAGGAGACAAGCAGTGTTGGGCTGTGAGTGACACAGATTTTACAAAAAAAACCCACTAACCAAACAGTTCCCATCTTCTAATTAGATTTATAATTAAAACCACGTCATACAGAGGGAAAATAAAAAACACAGATCTCAGCAAAAGGTTTTTGAAATATTTGGGAATGGGTTGAAAAAAACCATGATAATCTAATGAAGGGGGAAGAAAGAAGGAAATGGAAAGTGTTGGAACAGCTTAAAAATAAAGCAATGTGTGCCTAAGTGTTACACCTGCCATTTCCCAGGTAAACATTCCAGGCCTGGAAACTGAGAGCAAGGATGCAAAACCCCAAAAGAGTGCCTGAAGCAACAGTGCAAATGAAAGAGGGATGACAAAAGCAGATGGAAAAGGACCAAAAGACGTGGAAAGGAAAGAACAGGGAACAAAGGCAGCAGAGAGGGAGCAAAGGGCTCTGGTTCAGCCTCGTGGCTTTGGTCCTGGGCTGTGGGAGCAGGAGCTCAGCTCCCTGATTCCAGCCTCCACTGGCAGCTTGTCTGCAGCACCCTGGCAGTGCTTCCCTTCCCTTCCCTTCCCGTCACTGAGGGGGAAAGCTGAATTACAAGGACAAAGAGTTGGAAGGGGGAATGTCTGTCAGTTCTCCATCCCTGCCTCCTGCTCCCTCCTCCCCTGAAACAAATACCAAGTAAAGCAATTTGAATTGGGTGGCTTGCCAAGTTTCTCTTTGCAAATGCATTCACTGTCGCTGTATGACAGATGTCCACATTTCCACAGCCCTGAAACACTGCTCCTACAAAAATTCCAGGTAATCTCCAGCTAACTGAGGTGTGGCTGCCAGTCCCTGAGCTGGCTTCCCCGGCCCCACCAGGGCCAGCAGTCACACCCCTGGCAGGTCTGGGAGGACAGCCCTGTGCTCACCAGCTGAGGTCACTCCCTGACACAGCAGGTCTGTCACAGCCCAGGGAGTGTCAATGGGATCCAAATCCATGGTTGGGTCCCTGCCTGTTTGCTGAGTTATTGCTGAGTGTGCTCATCACAGCACACACGGGCTCTGGGCTCTGCTGTGCAGGGCTGCTGGGACAAGGTGCAGTAGCAGGGAGGCTTTGAGGGTCAGCCAGGGCCCACACCCCATCCCTGGCTGGAGCATTGCTCACACTACATATTTGTTGAATGTTAGCTGCAAAACTCAATCCACAACAACAAAAGAGCAGCTCTCAGGAACACAGCAAACCCACACCCCCTCTATGGCTCCTCCTTAGAGCCACCCCTCTGCTCTGAGCCACAGCTGTGCAGCACGGGGAGACATTAACAGGCTCCAGTGGATATTCCCGGTTTTATGCCTTTCCTATTACCTGATCAAACTAAAATATTGACTCAGTGGTGGTTCTGCAATTCCCCTGACGAAGCAGCCCTTGGGTACAGCAGAGTGAGCTACAACTCAGGTTCCAATGGAACAGGGAGGGCAGCATGTGAAACCATTTTCTCTGGAAATGTTCTTGCCACTAAATATTAATAAAACCTTTACATTAGAGGTCTGTGGGGTTTTGGAAAGAAAAAAAAATGAATTAATACATATGGAGAGAGACAAGCACAGCAAAAGAAATAAGTGACAGAGGAAGGGAGAGATTTGCCTGAAGAGGTGTCAGCAAATGTGTCAGTGCATTTTCATGAGAGACAGAAAGCAGAAGAGGAGGAAAAGAAAGGATATTGAAAGCAGTGAGGGAAAAGAAGGAAAGTGTGGCAGGAGGAGAGGAAAAAGCCTGGGCCAAGGCCAGGGCTCTTCAGTGCAGACTTAGCAGAGGTGTCACAGGAGTGAGTCGTCACCTCTCTCCTACCAAGGCCAATCCTGCAATTCCCAACCCCTCCCAGTGCTCCAGCCCCCGCCAAAGAGGGGCTGTGCAAAAGGCAAAAGGCCAAAGGCCTCTCTGACTGAGGCCCTGCTGACACTGGAAGGCACAGCACTGGAACTGAGCAAGGGCTGTGCCAGAAACCTTCCCCACTTGTGGAGCTCATTGTAGCTTTGCAGTTTATTTGTCAGGAGCACTTGGTTTGGCTTCACGCCCAACAAATTCCCATTTCTCCCATTGTATGGAGTGGAACCAGTGCCAGGAGCTGATGCATTCCCATCGTGCATCCTTGTCTTTGGGGCAGGGCCTGATCACCACTGAGAGCACGTTCAGGGTGGTACTCACAGGAACAACAACCCCCAGAACTAACTCGGGCAAAGGGAACGTCCAGGGGATCGGATGCGAAGTCGGAATAAGCTGCATTTCCTTCCTCTCCCCAGAGCCATCCCTTTCTTCAGGAGGAAAGGTAAGCTATGCCAGGAAATGTGAACCCTCATCACTCCTTATTTCTTAGAATGAAGTATCCAGAGACACCAGGAGATTTTTCAGGGCTCTGCCCCAGATTCCTGTGCAGCCAAACCCCTCATGAGCCCAGCTCCAAGCTGGGTCCTTCAAACCCAGGAGCACTTTGCCCACCTGACTCTGCCTTTCAAACCTCACCAGCAGCACATTTTTGTTCCAATGACTTCTCCCAAGCACTACTTTCTGGTTTTGGCTCCCCAGCCAAGGCATTTCCACTGAACTCCGTGCCCACAGTGTGGGTGTTCCAGCCTTCAGCAGGATCTGGGAATGCATTTTGTGGGGCTCCACCTGAGCACCTCCGACCCAGACAAACAAACATAGAACACACAGCCACTTCCAAGGGGTTTGCACACCAGGAATGTTCTGCACAATTTATCCCCTGGTGTTATTCCAGGCCCAAGACAAAACATTTGCCTTGAAAAACATTCTTGAAGAGAAAAGAATATTCTTTGTCACCAAGGATCAACCTTTGTCTTTCCTACTGAAGACTGTTCACATGTTAATGGACAGACATTTCTTGCTGTCCCTCTTTTCCAGATCCAAAAATTAGGGTAGAGAGAAGCGAACTGCTCAAGGTCACCCAGCAAAGAGCTGCAGAGGCCCTTCCAACTGTCATGGATTTTATGGAGTTATGGATTTTTCTAAGGCTTATTTAATGAAATATGAGAGAAATATGTTCCAGTAAGTATGTGCAGATCTGAAAAGTTACAAGTGTCTTCCACTCATTTTTAATGAACTACTAATTTTTTTCTTAAAACCATATTGGAAAAACCCTTTAACTTCATATTTGCTTATTTATTTAATTTAATTTCAGTCTTGCATTTATGTTTCTAATATATCCCTCAAAGGATTAAAAATAATATAACACAGCTATTATTACTTATAGCATTTGCATTTTTAGAGCCAAATATTTTGGTTAACTATACAAAGTAGCTGAAATTTTAACAAGAAGTTCTTGGGGTAAAACCAGAGTGCAAAGGGTCAGTTCAGTGTGATTTTCAACCTGCCAGTTAATTAATTATAAGCAGGGGCCTCCAGGGAGTTTTTCTAGCAAGGTAATAACTCCTGCAAAGGAAAAAAAAATTACAGAAAGCATTGTCATGGCCTTAAATCAATCCCCCACTCACACAGGACCAAGATGAACGAGGGGCCTTGTTATCTGAGAGTTTAGAGGTGGGGATGCCAAGGAATCCTGATCCTCTCCCCGGCACAGGGACTGGAGCAGGGCTCTCTCCCTGCCAGCTCCTGATCCCACAGCAGAAGTCACCCACCTGGGGCAGCATGCGATTTTCCTCCTCCAGCTGTCTTACTCTGGCCTCCAGCTGCCTAACATAGGACAAGGTTGATTCTAAAAAATCAAAACAGAAAAAAAGACTCGTATTATCCACAGAGATCTGCTTGTGTTCACTGGTGCCACAGCCTGGGCCACATCCTGACTGCACTCACAGCAGACTGCCCCTCTCCAGTGTCCAAGGAACACCCTGCTCTGCTCCTCTCAGGGCAGCACAAACAATGCTGATGCTGGAATTAGTGAGCTCCTCGCTGCTTGTCATTCTGAACTGCTGCACTTGGACAAAGACAACACAGCCCTGAGTCCTTCCAACCCACCCCCTGGGCTCTGCGAGCTTGGACTGCATGTTGGCAACGCTCCCCAAGGATAATGCATTATCCCAAGTCACCCTGAAAGCTGTCCTTCCGGAGGGGTCACAGCCAGAGGGCCCCTCACACAGTGCCTGGGGGCACACACAGCCCTGCAGGGCAGCTGGGCAGCACACAGGCTGCACCCCAGCTCTGCCACGACAGGCTGGCACAGCCAGAGCGGGCGCTTGCAGCCAGCTGTGTGTCCCCCAGGGCCAGGGCTGGCGCCAGCCTGTGTGTCCCAGGTCTGAGGGGCTGGCAGCCAGCTGTGTGTCCCTGGGGGCTGGCAGCCAGCTGTGTGTCCCCAGGGCCCGGGAGCATGGCTGACAGCCGACACCCTGGGGCACAGCACGCCCTCCTCAGGGCACACCTGCTGTCCTGCTGTCCCCTCACAGGCAGGGACACGCTCCCTCTGCCCTGCTGTGATCTGGGAGCTTGGACACAGAGCAAAGCCCGGTTCTGTTCAGCAGCAGCTCCTGGACCCACACAGGGCCAGCCTTTGCTTGGCCGTGAACAACAGGAGTCACTCCCAGGCTGCTCCCAAGAACTTGCTGTAGGAAGAGATCCCTGATCCACCCCTGAAAGCACCCGAGAGCTTCACCATCACACATTTGTGGGGTCACTCAGAAATTCTGCTGTTAAAGTCCTGTGTCTGAGAGAGATGAGTGTCTGGGAACACAGCACTCAGAGGTAAGAAAAAACATATCTTCTAAGGAAAAAAGGTACTTTCTCAGTGCAGGAAAACTGCTGTGCCTCTCGCTCCTGTGTGGAATCCCACCATGCTCTCACTCCTGACTCGGTGATCCACTCAACTTTCTCAGAGATGTCAGTTCCTGTCACACATTTGAGCTCATCCTGCCACATAATTAGCACAGTTATGACTACTGGTCTGGAATCCATGGGTATGGGGGCAGCAGTGCCAGCTGATACAGCCCTGCAAAGCTGCACTGACACCAGAGCTGCTCACTGGTTTAGACTGGCAGATGAATTTGGGCACGAGTTTCCTGTGCTATCTCATCACTACTCCAGCCTGCCCGTAAAACAAAGGAGATGGGGATTAAGGTGTCACTTACTGCTCTTAGAGACTGCAGCAGGTAAAATATGCATGGGAATTTACACAACATGGAGATAACACACAGTCATTTGTCAGAGCTGATTAATGCCCAGCCCGGCCCTGGATCAAAAATAGCCTGTGCAATTAGAGGGAAGGAGGTGAAGTGAGGTTCTGCTCACTCTGCTGCATCAGGCCTTTCCTAGCTGGTGATGGGGCATCTCTGGAGAGCCCTGAGCCCGGCTCGGATGAGCACTTGGGAGAGGAACAGCTTATTCAATTAACTGCACACGACAGGGCCCCTCCCAGCACATCAGCGCCTTCCCAGCACAGGCACTCCGGGCAGGAGCTCCCTCTCAGCTCGCTCATTAGCAGGGGCAGCAGCTCCCAGCACATCCCCCTCTCCTCCCTGCTGTTTCCCGCACGGGATGGTTCCTGAGGACCCATCTTTTCCGAGGGGCTGACCCAGCACTTCGGCTGGCACTGCCAGCTCTAAATTCCGTGGTCACCAGTGCACAGCCAGGTGAGCTTGGGCTCAGACTTCATGCTCCAGCCCAGTTCCCACCGAGCCCACTCCATGCAAACTCCCTCCTGGATTCTCTTCAACTCTTTATTTTTTCTAGTTTTCTGGTTTCCCATTTCTCAGCTCCTCAGATGAGGCACCTCTTGGCAAAATCTGTCTCTTACTTTTATTTCTGCACTGGGAGCCCAGAGCTGGGCTCTCTGTTGCTCCAAACCACCCTGCTCTGTCTCAGTCCCCAACCTCCCAGTGCCAGCTCCCACCAGCTGAGCCTTTGGTTAACTCTCCTGAAGTGTGAAACAGTTCTTTAAAGCTCCTCCTGTAATCTGATTAAAAGGGGAAATTAGGCCATCTACCAAAGGCTTGAGCAAGCAAATCCTAACTTATGTGAGTCTTCCTGACACATAGACTAGACACATATATATATTTCAGGATCTGTTAATATATTTATGCTGTGATGCCACGAGCTTAGAGGGGGAAATGAGCGGAGAAGTCAGCCAAGGACATAAGAGATGGAGGAATTGAAAACACACAAAGTGAAACACTGGCACCAAACCTTAAAAAACCCAACCAAACCAAAAAGTTGCATCTAAAAGTATTTATGAGAAGACCTATATGATCCATCTATTCTTAATCAGCCTGGAGACAGGGAGAGAAAGTATTGGAGACACAGAAATATCAAATATCTTGCTTTTAGGGAAATGCAGTGACAATCCCCTGTCTCCACATCCATCACTCCAACATGTCGTAAGGGAACATCAATATTTACGTAGCTGATCTCTGTTCCCTTTGACATGCCCGCTCTTGAAGCTTGCAGATATTTTGGGGTCATGTCAGACGTTATCAGACACTTGTGTTGCTGCCAAAAGCACATTTGTGCATTGGCTTTACCCGGTTTTGTGTGACTGAGCCTGATCCCAGTCTACCAAGGAATTCATCATGTCCTTTAAGCCTGATTATCCTCTGCTGTTTCAGAATGCTCGAGGATGTCATGTTACATTCTGATGGTTTAATACTTTCTTTGGAGGGTTGCAACTCCCTGTGGGACTGCACTGAAGAACCCAAACTGTGAGGTTCTCTGCCCACCTGTGAGATCCCTGCAAAGCACCTGGAAGAGAACTCCACAGAAAGAAAAAACTTCAGGGTTCAACCTCCCCTTCTGCTTGTTCAGATGAGCTCGATACCGAGCCCAGTGTGAAAGGAGGAAGCGATTTCACCTAATGCCCAGAGGAGTACTTGGGGGAAAGAAAGAGCAGGAGACCCAGCACCTGGCCAGAAGCAGCACCAGCCAGTCCTTGCATCCTCAAGGCCAGAAAATGGGAAAACAGGATGCCAGGATAATGCAAAATTCACCTGGATTTTGTGAAGAGCAGCACTTTCTGCTGCCACCAGCTCAGCTCTGTTGGGTGTTCGTGTTCCTGAGGGAAGTCTCCAGGATCTGGAGAGCTGGCACAGCTCAAGCTGCACATTTTAAACACTGAGGCTGTAAAGGAGGGGAACTGCCAACGATTCACCTTGGCAAAGAATTGAGGGTGTTGTGTGTAGGGATACTTTGATGTGTGGCAATGAAGGTTTGGTTCAGGTATATCAGCTCCAGCAGAGAGAGCCATTGGTCATGCTGCTCTTTCTGCACTGTGTTGGCAGGAATTTAATAATTGTATTATTATTAAATTTAATATAAATTACATCAGGTTTTGGTCATTCAAATCCACACCCAGCACCCCACAATGAAAACCAAATAAACCTTCCATGAATGGCAGATGAAAACCAAGGCTGTGCAAGGGCTGTTTTAAACCCCCCCAGAATTCCCTGACAGCTCCATATGTTCAGGAAAGGCTCTCCATGCTAACTAGCAGATCCAGTGCCACACAAACCATCTCCCTGCCCTGTCATTCCCGGGCAGCTGATTTAATTACTTCAGTATTAGCATTCATGGCTGGAACATGTTATCACAGCCACCCATGCCCTTCCAGCTGCCTTGTTTGAACATGAACAACCCAACCTGGCCCTGCTGGGTTTGTGTGGACACCCATTGCCACCCCCTGCACCAACCAGCCTTGGCTCTGGCAGCATCCCAGCTCCCCTTGGCAGGATCAGGCAACCTCCAAAGGTCATTTTTAGCCCTGTCTTCTGTAATTTCCCGTTAGGGTTGCACATCTTACATAACAGCCCTACTGAAGAAGTGCTGGAGAACTCCTTATTAAAGTGCAGCCACATTAGGATTAGTGCTATCATGTAGAAAGAGAGAGGTTTGCCCAAGGCAAGGTTTTATTAAGCTCACCAGAATGTTTAGGAGCTGCTTACGACCAAGGCACATATTCTCAGGAAGTTTTGGGGCAGCAAACACCACAGTGGTTGCAATCCTCAACAGTGCTGTTGTCTGAAATCCTCCCATCCCAAACTGAGAATCCTTGGGATTACAGATCCAGCACTTCCTGACTTTAATTAAAAATATAATGAACTAAGCTGAGCTTGTTCAGTGAGTGTGTCAGAACTGAATGCAGGCAAAGGGAAGGCAAAGGGCTCTCACTGCTCCTGAGCTACCCAGGGCACACCTGAGGGCACCCCAGTGCTGCCTGTGACACAGCCTAATACAAACACAGTGTGGAGTCCACTTCAGAACAGCACTGACTTAGGCTGGAGGGTTTGTTGCACATTTAGCTTTAGGGTGCAACAAAATTTCCAGTTGAATTCATTTGGAAAAAATAAAAAACTTTCAGAAAAAAGGTTTAAAGAAGTCTCACAGAGCAGAAAGGGTTTGATAGAGGGGCACCTCCAAAGGCTGCTGGTGTCAGCTGAGGTCACAGTCCTGCAAACAGCTGGCTGGCACTGCCACACTGATGCTCTGCTCTAACCCTCACCCTGGGTTGTTGGGCTGTTGTGGTGCTGGAGGTGACAAAGCTCTCCTTGCTGGGCTGTTTGATGTCCCATTAGCTCCCCTTCAGCCCCTGCTAAATGCATTTGCCACGGTATTGATGGAAACAGAGAAAATCAAACCCATTATGCTCTTGCTGAAGCCTTTCCCACTGGCTGCCAGCTTGGTCTGGTATTGATTCACGTGGTTTATGATTGGGAAAATCTCTGTGGGCTCCATTTACTCAACTGCTGGGGTTTGTCCCCGTGCCACCACACTGTCCTT